AGATTGTACAGTGCCTCTTAAGTATAAACTCCATGTTACAACTCACAGCTATAACGGCGCTTTTCTTTGTCTCACAGTGGACGGTGGATCTGCAGCCCTGTATACCAAACAGGAGAACGAGCTTGTCACCATGAACTGCGACATAGATGGTACGTGTGGGTGAAACAGTCTCCCTCAGGGTTAGCTTGTGTAGAAATACTACTACTAATAATAATGATATGATAATAATGATGCTGACGTGTATTGTTGTTATTTCAGGAGACATGGAGAATCAGGTGGAGGTTGAGGAGAAGACGAGGTTGATAAATCAGGTTTTGGAACTTCAGCACACACTGGAAGGTAAAAAACAAAACAAACCCTCTAACACACAAATTAAATTTTACCAGACGGAACAATGACCTCATGGATGAAACACTCTAAAATGATACAACACGCTGCACATTTTCTGGTTTTATATCAGGAAACTTCCTCTGATATCCGAGGGCCTTTCACTTTTTTTTGTATGCACATCCTGCGTTTGTTCCCTAAAACAGATTCAATAAAACCCCCAAAAATCACATGTTTCTGATTTAACACACTGGACGTTTCTCTCTGTGCAGCTGCCTTTTCTCCTTTTACGTATTCTTTCTTACTGCATGAGCTGTAAAGCATTAAATGCAGATTTTGATAAGTAGAAAACTGGTTTGGGTTTTTAAAAAAAATCCTCATAGAGGAAGAAAATACAGAAATAATTTACATGAGTCACATGTTGATCTTTCAGTGTGTATTCTGGTAAATTTCTACATCTAACGCTTTAAGATGGGTCTGGGCATGTCTGCTTAGACAGCTTCCCGAGTGACCCAGGCCCATTTACAACATGGATGGATAAATACTAATAATTAAGTGATATTTGTGTGACAAAAAATATACAGGGGGTCAGTAAATGCTAAGAAAGGGGACCTAATGGGGAAGAGTATGCCTTTTAGCTGCCCGTTTCCTTTTTTGTCCCAGACCTGTCAGCACGAGTCGATGCAGTCAAAGAGGAGAACCTGAAGCTAAAGTCTGAGAACCAGGTCCTCGGTCAGTACATTGAGAACCTCATGTCGGCCTCGAGCGTCTTCCAGACCACCGACACCAAGAGCAAGAGGAAGTGAGTTACCCTCAGTAGAAAGCTGGAGTCCTGGGCCAGCAGCTGGGAGAGGAAACCCATCATGGAGACGTGGAGAGGGGTTTGTTTCCTCAGCAGATGTGGGAGTTCCTTTAACCACTTACCCAAGTCAAAACTAACAAAATAAATATCAAATAACCCCATAAACGGACTTATAGATGTAAGAAATATGTGTATATAAAATTCATTTGGACCAGGGCTGTTTTTCATCAGCTTCCTCTAAACACTACAGACAAAGTAGATGTCACCCCTTTAACTCAATAACAGTAAATTAACAGGTTGAGGGTCTTCTTACCTCAAGGTTGTCCCTAATGCTCGCTGTCAATCCGGTATGTGTAAAAAAACAAAACAAAGCTGTGTTTCTGTTTGAGGCCGGTTCTGATTTCCTGCGAATGTCCCGCCTTTGTGTTCTGTTTAAAGG